ATAATTCAATGCATGTTTAATCTATTTCACAGCGATAGCGTAGCTACAACCACAAGAATGTCTAAGGATTTCTTTTCCTCTAGAGTAAAACCAGGGGTTTCTATAAGTGAGCATTTGATAAATCTAAACAAAATAAGAGCTGAGCTACAATTGAGGGGGGAAGTGATTTCAGATCAAACAATGAAAAGTGTTATTATCAATTCACTTGATCCATCATGGGATAGCTTTATGTCACACTTAGATACCATTAATTTGGGATATTTATCCATAGAAAGTCTATCTAACAAATTGATAGCAGAAGACAATTCAAGAAAAAATCGATCCAGTAACCAAACAGACCACAAACCTTTTAGGAAAGTAGTCTTTCAAGATAAACATAATGAGGCCTTTAGATGCTACAATTGTGGATCCAGGGAACATAGTAGAAGAGACTGCCCCAAAGTCTCAAGAGAGAGACATAGACCAGAATATAGGAGCAAATATAATTACAGACAATCTTCCACAGATAGACACAAATATAGAAGTCCACCAAATTACAAAGAAGGTAGAGGGGGTAGAGAAAATTCAAAAGAGAGGAAATCTGGGTCACTGAATGGGCTAAATAAACAAGACAGCACCAGAACACAGCAGGATGAGAATAACAATTGGCTTATTGATTCTGGTGCAACAAATCACACCACCAACAACAAAAGTATATTATCTTCATTTATAGAAGATAAGTTTGTGATAAAGGTAGCTAATCAAGAAAAGGTTCAAGTACTAGGCAAAGGAAATGTGACCTTGCCTGGTCTAGGGAAAATAGAGGGGGTATTATTAATCCCAGAAATACCTCACAACATACTAAGTGCCATAAAATTAAGCAGAGAATCTGATATCAATATAGTTTTCTCAAAGGGGAAAGCAACTATAGAAAAGAACAAAACAAATGTAGGTACTGTAATGATAAAAGGAGGTCTACCCTATCTGATAACTAAAGAAAGATGTTTACATAACATTGATTCAAATATGGAAGATTGTATTGAAGCAGATGATGAAGATGTCAGTAACAGTGACAATGATGAGTGTAGAATAACTCATGATCACAAAAATACATACAAGGAAAAGAAACCAAAAATAGGTAAACCAATTCATGATGAGTGTGCTCACATCTTACACAGGAAGTTAGGACATGCAAGCTTTCCTGTAGTACAAAAAATGACTGAACACGCAGAAGGTGTCAAAATAAAAAATTGTGAAAATTATTTGGAATGCTCAGTATGTAAATCCACCAAACTAAAAACCAGTCCCAGACCAAAAAAATCTAACAGATCAACTAACAATATTTTTGATTTGGTACATATGGACTTAGTTGGTCCATTAAGTCCCTCAATTACCTATAGAAAACGTTACTTCCTAACAATAGTGGATGACTACAGCCGATATGGTTTTGTTTACACATTAAAGCACAAGGATGAAACATTTCAGAAATTTAAGGAATTCTACAAACGTATAGAAACACAACATAATATCAGAATAAAGCAAATTATGACAGATAGGGGATGTGAGTTCATGTCTAAAGAATTCTCCCAATGGTTAAAGGATAGAGGAATGTTACATTTCACGTCCAATCCTTTTTCTGCATTTCAAAATGGAGTTGCAGAGAGGAAAAATTCCACACTACAAACCATGATTAGGTGCACATTAGAGGATGCTGGTTTAGGCAAACAATTTTGGTCAGAGGCATTACATTATTCGAATTACACTCAAAATAGAACCTGGTCCAGTATTGTGAATAAGACACCATATGAGGTGATGTACAATAGAAAACCCAAATTATCACACATGCATATATTTGGAGTCACTGCAGACGTACACATACCTAAACAATTGAGGAGAAAGGGAGAAAACGTATCCAGGAGATTAAGATTCATGGGATACGAAACTGGAACCAAAGGGTACAGATTTATTGATAGTAATAACAAATTTATAGTATCCAGAACAGCTGTGTTCCATGAACAGGCCAATTGGTCAAAATTGCACCTTAATGAAATATTTCCTAATAAATGTAAAGATACGATATCTTGCGAGGAAGGAACAACAGAAAATCAAAATATTAACAAAAGTAAGAACAAAACCAAAACTTGGACTAATAGTCAGCATAAAATAAAGACAGACACATTAACAAAAAAGGAAGCTAGATATTTGCATGATAACCATAGCAAGCCTGAAAGAACTATTAGAAACAATAGAAACCAAATACCAAATAAATACAAAGATTACATAATGCATATGAATGGAGAACAAATAACACCTAATACATATGAAGAAGTATTGAAACTTCCACATGAAGAAAGAGAAAAATGGGAACTAGCTATGGAAAAAGAGATGGAAAGTTTACAAGGATTAAATGTATTCACACCTGCGATCGCACCTAAGGATAAAACAATTATAGGTACCAGGTGGATTTATAAAATTAAGAACTTAGAAGGAGGCAATACCTTATACAAGGCTAGACTAGTTGCACAAGGCTATGCACAAAAATATCCAGAAGACTATACTGATACATATTCACCCACAGTGAGAACAGAGAGTGTCAAAACAGCCCTTGTAGTAGCATCTGCACTCAATCTGGACGTATTCCAATATGACATACAGACCGCATACTTACATGCAAAATTAGATAAGGAAATATATGTAAGAGCACCACACAGTCAATACACTAATAAGAACGAAATTTGGTTATTAAATAAGAGTCTGTACGGATTAAAGCAATCCGGCAAAAGATGGTACGATTGCTTGGTAAAAGTACTTAAGACCATGGATTTCAACGCCACCACTGCTGATAACTGTTTCTTTGTAAAAAAGAGTAATGATCATATTGAATTTGTATTAATTTACGTGGACGATATTTTATACATTGGAAAGCATAAAGAGAGCAGGGAAATCTTTGTAAATAAGTTAAATGAACACTTCTCACTGAAATCTCTGGGTAAAGTGAATAAATACCTTGGTGTGCAAATTAACAAAACTAAAAGGGGATTCAAACTTACACAGAAAGATAAAATCATCGAACTCCTAAACAAATGTAACTTAAATAATGCCAAAACCTGTGACACCCCTATGCAAACTGATTTTCTTAGAAACACTGATGAATCTTCCCCTGAGTTTAAAGACAACACATTTTACAGATCAGTTATAGGTTCACTCCTTTATATATCTAATTGGACTAGGCCAGATATTGCATTACCTCTCAATCTATTGTCAAGATATGTTAGTAAACCAACCTTGTATCATTGGGAAGCTGTCAAAAGAATTCTAAGATATCTGAAGGGTACATTAGATTTTTGTTTAATGTTGGAACCCAATAATGACAGAGAACCAAAAATTACTTGTTATGCTGATGCAGATTGGGCTGGTGATACATCATGCAGAAAGAGTACTTCTGGTTATGTTTTTCTATTGAATGATTGTCCAGTTTACTGGTATACTGGTAAACAAGAACTAGTAGCCACTTCTACTACAGAAGCGGAATATGTTTGTTTGTCCAAGGCTGCAAATAACCTTGTATGGTTCAATGATCTGATCACTGATGTTTGGAAGAAACCCACTTTACCATTTATTATGCATGAAGACAATAAAGCGGCCATTGAAATATCCAGATCCGATGCAATTGGACAAAGGTCCAGGCATATTGATATAAAGTTTAAGCATGTGAGACAACTGTCTCAAGACGGATTCATTAAAGCAATACATTGCGATACTTCTGAACAATTAGCTGACATATTAACAAAACCCTTACCTTCTAAACAACACAAATATTTAACTTCTAAATTATATGTATTATATTGTCCTGAATCAGAATGTAATTGGTGTTGTGTAACGAACCGGCATTTAGAGGGGGATTTGTCAGATGTAAATGCCTTATTCTCCAATGTGTAAATAATGTATATTCTTCTGTTAATAAATTCCTCTCAACATAGTCCTCTAACCAATTGGTTTTTAGCATACATCTTGGCTACTATATCTAGGAAGCTGACAGGTCTGTATTTTTTGGGATGTTCCTTACTACCTTTTTTATAAACATAATTTCTATAATAGAAATTTCTCATTATTTTGGAATGCAACCAGTATTATTTATGTAGGAGTACAGCCCCATAAATGGCAGTGAGGGGATAGTGTATGACTTAAGAGAACTTAATCAACATAGCACCCCCCCAGATGGAAAATGTAACAAAAAAGGACAAAGTAATAGTTAAGTAGCAATATGACACCAGCTTCTATTACTGTACTATTACTGTACACTTCTAGATCATGTGAAAAGCACCTTAATGACAAAAAAATACAATGGTGATAGTCAGATCAATTTCATGCATATTGTACTGCTTCCCTAAGAGCAATTAAAATTAGATTGTAGGTGGCCCTGCTATTTTTTTAAAATAGACTAAAACTAATGCTTTGGTCTGAACAACGAGTTAGCTTTTAAACGACATTAGAATCGAGCTTAATCTATGTGTTGTGAAGAGGTAACATGAAGTTTGTGGTTTGCAACAAGCAGATTCACACCTTTACGTTCCACACCTTTACGTTCTAGATTTGTAAAAGTACAACCCGCTTTAGAATGGGATGAGAATTAATATAGCCGAAAAGCAAGCAGCTGCCATAAATTTTATAGCTTGAAAATGCAATCATCAACTTGAGTCAATTGGGATATTCTGGAAAACAATATTTCGCCATATTTGTTAGCTTGATTTGTAAAAAAAAAAACACCAAAAAAACAGCAAGCAAGGCGCTTGCGTCGGTCTAAGCCCTTTTCTCATACTTCCTCCTCCTCCTATTCCTCTAAAATAGGAATGGAGAGGAAGCACGTGGCATTCAAACTCTACTCACAACAGTAGATGGAACTGGAACCTGGAGGAACGGGAGAGTCAGCCAATAACAATCCAGGCTCGGGGCAAACACACTCCTTGGTTTCCTCCGATTGGCTTATCGGAAGATGGGCGGGGAACGCGCCAAATCTAACGCTAGAATTTCGGTCCCGCCAAGAAAAGCCCGCTTTGCTCTGCTAATTCGAAATGCCGGCCGAGCTCGACGTGCAGGGGACCCCCGCGCTCCCCCAGGAAAAGCCCCTCGCCGCCTCCGGCTCTTCCCCATGTCACGGAGAGATCCAGTATCTCCAGCAGGTCGAGCAGATCCTGAACTTCGGACACAAAAAGGAAGATCGGACCGGGACAGGGACGCTGTCCATCTTCGGGATGCAGGCGCGGTACAACCTCCGAGGTGAAGTTCAGCCCACTCCATCCTCTCCTCCGGCTCCGTGCGCCTGTGGCTTTCTTTTGAGGAATTCGGGGGTGGTCGGGAAACCGCTGCCGGTTGTGCAGCCTTGGCGCTGGTCTTGGAGCCTCTCGGTCTCAAAAACGGTGAAATCGTCAAGTCCCTTCTCGGGGGCTTTAAAGCAGGGGTCTCCAACCTTGGCCACTTTTAAGACTTGTGGACTTCAACTCCCAGAATTCCTCAGCCAGCAAACCTGGCTGAGGAATTCTGGGAGTTGAAGTCCACAAGTCTTAAAAGTGGCCAAGGTTGGAGACCCCTGCTTTAAAGGGCACCGAATTCGCCTCGGATGGTAATCTAACAAAACAACAATACTGTTCCTTTTTATACTGTGCTTTTACAATACTGTGCTTTTTATAATCTGTGAGCAAGAAAGAAACAGAGACCACCAGACCCGAAGTGGTCGTGGGGAAGCTGGAGGAGACAGCAGAAGATTTCGAGACCGAGACCAGCTCAATGTCCTGATTCCCATATCTTCAGTTCATAGCTCCTTGCTTAGCTTCTGCCTAATTTGGCGCAAATCTATTAGGTCCGAAATTCTTTTGCTTAGGAGCACTTATGTGCCACTAACATAGAACTTGTCTCAAGCATGAACTTTTCTCAAAACAGGAACGATGGAGAAAGAGCAGTGATTTCCCCCAAGTGGCACCCCAAAAAAATTTATTCAGTTATATATTTATCAGATTATAGCCCACCTTTTCTTTTGGCAGAGGATACGGTTTAAGGAAGTGCTTCTTATAAAGGTAGTCCTCGACTTATGACCACAATTGAGCCCAAAATTTATGTTGTTAAGCAAGGCAGTTACATAAGTAAATTTTGCCACATTTAAGTGAATCCCTGCAGTTGTTGAGTCAGTAACACCGTTAATTGAATTTGGCTTCCCCATTGACGTTTCTTGTCCAAAGGTCACAAAAAGGGATCCCAGGGAAATGATCATAAATCACTTTCAGTGTCGTATCTTCGAACATTCACTAAATGAACTGTTGTAAGTCAAGGACTACCTGTAGTTTCTTCACAGCAGCAACCCTGTAAGATAGTCTGGGCTGAGAGTGTTTAAGGTCACTCGGTACCCATGGGTTCCAGCTTCTATGACAGTCAGCTTTTTGAGGTAGTGCAGACAAGATAGTACTTTATTGTAAGGCTACGGGACAGAATCTTGCAAATCTGGAAGCACTTGTCCTTGGATAAAAAAATAAAAGTCTGAATACTATATGTTAGTATTCCAATATGATGACCTGATTAAATATTTATCTGAATTATGTTTAATGGCTCCAAATTATGAACCAATTAACTTTAGAAAATGTTCAATTAGCATATAACCCAATATCTCATTTTTTTCACTTTCAGATGATTTTCCATTGTTAACAACTAAAAGAGTATTCTGGAAAGGAGTACTTGAAGAACTACTTTGGTTTATCAAGGTAAAGTGCATAGTAATGGTTTCAGTCAATGGTTTGATTAGACCCATGAAATAAATAGAAATTGAGGTTTATTATAAATGCAAATATTAATGCAATATTAATTCAGCCATAAATTATTCATATAGGATACAGATGAGGCATGTTAAGTCTTCTACTGGAAGCCTACAGAGATCTGTGGATAGAAGAGTCCTTGGCGAGATGTATCAGCCTACAAACCACAAAAGTGATGGTACAAACGTGGAGATAATTATTCAACATTATCAATAACAAATCTGTTATAGCCTTTAGACAAAAACCCCTCCCACTATATAGCAGTACAGATATCTAAAATTATTGATGAGGCTAACAAATAGGAATATGTTAAAATTAATATAACAATAATACAAATCAATGGAGATCACCAAGAATAAAGCTAATCTTCAGAATAGGTGGAACAAACAAGAAACAGAAGCAAAACCAAAACTGGACAACCTGAAAAGAATACATCAGAGTCTTGATTGGATAGAAGTGACAGATAAGTATCATGTTCTCTACCAAGTTAATTCTTTAAAATATGATACCGGTACATGCATGTCTCACTTCTAAAAAAGAAACATACTTCAGACTTCCAGATATGGTGAACTGAAGACAGTTTTTTGAAAGCGGAGTCAACAACTAAAGCAGAGAACCAAGGAACCTATGATTAGACCAGTTCCTTGGAACTTCTATGGATAAGGAGAAGACAAGAGATTGCCCACATGTGCTCAAATGGTTGCTTCTTGCATAGAGCTCATAGAATATGCCTCCATGCAAGAAGTTTGTGAGTTTGAATGCTGGCACACAACAGAACTATTCATTTTGCTCATCTAGCAGTAAATAAAATAATTAATCAGGGTGGAGACTTAAAAGAATCCTAAGAGGAATATACCTTAAATGCTATTTATTGTTCTTTGAAGATGTCACTGGATTAATTTTTCTAATTTTCCATCTGCCTTGTGAAAAATAGAGCCTGAAACAACTTCAGGGTTAGTCTGGTTAAAATCTATTGCCTATTAATGCATTCTAGTAATATTAAAAATTTTAAAAATAAAAATTACTGAACAAAGTAATGCAATATATTGAATCTTGCTAAATATTATGAATATAATGTATGATACCGAAAAGATTTTCCTATTTTTATTTCATATCAGTTTTAATTTTTTCCCTAGAATATTAAAATCGTATTTGTTATTTTTAACAAAATATTCTTAAAATTGTAGAATAAGAGAATTGGAAAATATAATGCATACAAAGTAATTAACAAGCAAAATTGTATTTTGATTAAATTTAATAAACTGTGTAGAATAAGAACAATATAAAATTGATCTGTCAAGGAAAAGCAGTAGCTTCACAATCACTGAAGTGCTTCTTGTTTATATAAACATAAGGACTTGCAAAGATGGAGCATATATATAAAGCAATATTATATATTGCTGAGTACTGAATCTGGTACTCTGAATATTTACTGCTTTACTGAATTGTCACAGACAGCACTTAATGTTGGGAGATGTTTTCTTCTCCAAGTGTTTGGAAGTATTAGAGCTTGATATTGACCTACAAATTTAAAAAAATTACAAGAAATCTAAAGAGTTTATGCTGAATGCTGATAAATGATTTCTTTCTCATTACCCACAGGGTTCTACGAATGCAAAAGAGCTTTCTGCTAAGGGAGTTAAGATTTGGGATGCCAATGGTTCTCGGCAATTCTTAGACAAACAAGGATTTTTTTCTAGAGCGGAAGGAGATCTCGGTCCTGTTTATGGCTTCCAATGGCGACATTTTGGAGCTGAGTACAAAGATATGAATACAGGTAAACATGGCTGAATATTTGCTTTCATTTTCAAGTATCCATAAAAATATACTTTAGGATACTAAAGATATAATTGTTAAAACTGGCTTGATTCCAAAAATGTACAGGTTATCTTCATTTAACTACCCTAATGGGTCTGGCAACTACCACTAAATGAAGCAGTTGCTAAGTGGAAAATCACATGACCATGACTGTTTTTTGGCTGAAAAAAGACAAGACTGTTCAGTTTCACACTTTTGGCTTTTGTTTGCCTCCTAACCATTCCTGCTCCTTGGAATGCTTGAGTGGCTGCTTACTGTCTTGTATACATCAAAAGCAACATGATTGCGAGCAGTGGACTTGGAGCCTGTGGGTTGCTACACAAATAGCTTACTTTCTTGCAAACCTTTTGTCTCCAATTAATATGCTTTGCAAGGGTGGTGGAGAGTAAGTTCAAGTCAGACAGGACAACACATACTGATGCTATAAAGGTCATATGTAGGCTGTAAAGGTATTTTTTTAGTAACTTGGTAATGGTCGCTAAACAAATGGCCATAAATGAGGACCTATATTAAAGTACATGGGGGCATGAAAAGACAACTGCTTTAAAGAGTTGCTGAGAGGTATTTCCTATTTATGCCTCTATGTCTTAAACATCTGTTTAGAATCAACTCTATAATAATTATAAAATAATGTCTTCATGTTACATTATGTATTAAGCAGATTTCTGTTTCAAGATTTGAATAATTTGTTATTGGGAGTAATTAATTTGTAAAAGTTAATTTTCATGCCAGTAGTTATGTAAATAATACATATATTATTGGTCCTGTCTCATTTAACCTAGAGTAAACTACTGTTTATTTCTACTGTTAATAAAGTACTTTGATCAATATGGAGTAGGAAATTTAATTAATAGGTCAAATTTCCCCTAGAATTAAAATGGATTTATACTATCACCAGTTATTAAATGGCTTACATTTCTGCCCTTTTAAGCAGATGACATCATAAAAATATACTTTGTATTCTGTTTTCCAGACTATCTAAACACATTTGTGCTGATTGGCCATGACTGATGCTTCCTGGGTTTATTTAGTAGACATTTTCAGAAGGAATTTACAATTCTTAAATATTGTTGTCTTTAGTGGAACAATCTCATAATAAATAAGATAAACAACTATTAAGAGTGAGATTAGTTCTTGTATTGAAAAGAATTATAAATAAGCTTGTCTTCACTTTTTTGTAGATTATACAGGGCAAGGAGTAGACCAACTACAGCAAGTAATTGATACAATCAGAAACAATCCAGATGACAGAAGAATTATAATGTGTGCCTGGAATCCTAAAGGTATATTATGACATATAATGCTGAGTCATTAAAGATTGTAGTTATCCATGATAACTCTTGTTAGGGAAAAAAATCACTATCTTAGAAAACAACTATCCAGAATAATTGCACAAGCAATTTATTTTTTAAATACATTTTTAAAATTTATTTTTTTCCCTTTTCTTTTCAGATCTCTCTGCAATGGCTTTACCTCCATGCCATGCTCTCTGCCAGTTTTACATTTTAAATGGTGAACTGTCTTGTCAGTTGTATCAGCGTTCTGGAGACATGGGACTGGGAGTTCCTTTCAACATAGCTAGTTACTCACTTCTTACTACAATGATTGCCCATGTTACAGGCCTAAAGGTATCCTTATCTTTTAAACCATTTCCACAGGAAGTAAGGAAAAACAAACAAATCTCAGGGTGAACACAGTTTGGCAAGGAGTGGAACTCTAGCAATATTTTCAGACAGACAATAGGAGAGGTAAATTCTGGCAACACTTTATACTAGTCTGAAAAGTGAGAGCTTAACAGCATCAGTAAACAAACTGGTGTATAGGAAATAATGACAGTACGTTCAGAAAACAAAACTTGTCTAGCAGCAATTTCTTTTTCTGTTTATTCTTAATTCATCACTAAATAATACTCTTTTTTTTTATATAGCCTGGTGAATTTATACACACATTAGGAGATGCTCATATATATTTAAACCATATTGAACCCTTGAAAATACAGGTAATTATATCAGTTGATTACTCTCATATTGTTTTAATATCATTAAAATCATTATGTGTATTGGATACTCATTTCCATCAGGACCTGGATGAAGTATAACTTAAATCTGTCAGTAGTGCTCAACATTATCAACAATTCATTGCAACACTGCAATTGAAGGAGATAACATTAGCACAATCATTACATAGATAATATTTTTCTATCTCCAGCCTAGGTTGGACAGGAGATGTAGTGAGTCTTCTGTACTGCTCTCAGGATTTGAGTGGGTCAAAATAAACAAATTGATTCCCAATAAAACTGAAAACTGGCCTAGAAATCTTTAGGTTCTCTGGTGATCTTTTCTATATCTGGAAAGGGTTGTGCTACCTTGGAAGGAGCTTGTCTGACCTTCTGTAGCTTCGTGGGTATCCTGGATTAATGGCTACTGCCAGAAAGGAGTGTTTGGCTCCATTTATGTCCCATTACTTTGTGATTGTTTTATTACAATGTGCTGTCTTTGGGCCTACCTTTGAAAACCACTTGGAACCTTCAGTTGTTGCAAAATGCAGTGGCTTACAATTTAATAGGGTAACAGTTTTACAGCTGTTGATTTGCTACCGGCACACTTTCAGGTACAATTATGTATAATGTTACCCTATAAAATAGATTTACTGTTTTAAATCAAAACTTGTATAATTTACTAATAAAAAGTATCTTCAATAAGCAATCAATTCAACATTTAATTGAACTCTATACCATGTAATATATATATATATATATATATTTAAATTTCAGCTTCAGAGGCAACCAAGACCTTTCCCCAAGCTCAAAATTCTTCGTAAAGTTGAAAACATCAATGACTTCAGAGCGGATGATTTTGAAATAGAAGACTATCATCCACACCCAGCCATTAAAATGGAAATGGCTGTCTAATGAATTTTTTTCTGCAACTGTTTTAATGTTCGGCCTGGAGTTAATGCGTTTAAGCATTATTTGTATTCATATCACTCAAAAGGTCAAAAACAGTTTTTTTTTAAAAAAATGTTCAGTTTTGTATGAAGCTTGAATCTGAAGTAGACTGTTATATATGCATCATGCACAGAGCATATAAAGGGTTTATGTAGTTTGGAATTATCCAATAAGTCATATGTGTTGTAATAAATGTTAGCTGAAATCTTAAGGGAAAGATGTACTGCATCATTCATTTTTCAAGTTAACATTTCCTATCTAGTAGGAAAATACTGTAGAATAGAAAAAGCAACATAACAGCTTGGGGAAGTAGACAGCAACTTTAAAATAAAATGGATTACGGTAATTTTACTGATGTTTTCCAAAATGGCTGAAAAAAAATAAGAGAACTACCCAGATTGTTGGTTTTATAGAGCTGCCCCGTGCATACTTACACAAAAGACCATCTGAGCTGTAAGATTTGGGATAAGATTGAATAGCTTCTGCCCTACCTAAAAGCTACATTTTTCTTTCCAAGCATTGGAAGCAGATGAACATTATTAAGACAGGTTCTCCTAAGAGTAATAGCTGTCTGTTGGTTTATTTATTTATTAGTTAGACTTCTATACCGTTTCAAAGTCTTTACAGCCCTCTAAGCGGTTTACAAAGTTAGCATATTGCATATTAACATATTGCCCCCAACAATCTGGGTCCTCATTTTACCCACCTCGGAAGGATGGAAGGCTGAGTCAATCTTGAGCCGGTGAGATTTGATCTGATCTGCTGAACTAGCAGTACTGTGCTCTAACCACTGCCACCTCGGCTCATAAACCACAAACTGCAATTCTGTGCATTTTCCTGCAATTTGCAGGGAATTTCCATTTTTGCTACAGATTGGCAGGACCTTAATCTCATGTGCATGTTAACTGCAAAGTGAAACTAGTTATTTGAACAGTAAGAAAGCTGGAATATTGTGATGTCTTTTGACATTAATATCCTAGTAGGTAGTATTTCTTGCTACCTACCAGTTTGGTCATACTACAAAGCCTCGTATTCTAGCATTTTTTTATTTAGAAGAATGCGCATGATTTCAACTTCAAATACAGCAAGTTTATAAAGTAAGAATAACAGGATTCTGTTAATGAAGTCTATTTCTATACTCTGCAAGTGTATAGAAATATTCTCTATTAAGAACTTTCTGGCCTGGAATAGATAGATTTGGGTGATAATATAGGAAGAGTCAACAGTCCAATCTCAGGAAATTAGACTACTGATCTACCTCACCAAGAACATGCCTTTCCAGTAGAGCCATTCTGTGAAAGAATTCAAGTTACAAGTGCACCCATTAGCTCAAAATCTAGCTCATCATCTATTGCTGAAACCCCCATTTAAGGTCTCAACTGTTTTCTGACTAGAAGAATAAATTGTTTTCACTGTTGTCTTCAAAAAAACTGATGTATGTTTTAATGACTACAATCTACCATCACTGTCATCTGTCCAAACTGTTGATCCAATTCAGTGGTGGGTTCTAATCAGTTTTACCACCGGTTCACATCGCACAAGCGCATTGACTAAAAAAACAGTTGAGGCATGGCAATCCACTCTGCCGCGCCTTAGCTGAACTAAAAAGAAAAGAAATAAAGGTAGGTATAGCAGGGGGAGGGCCCAACTGACGTTCAGAGAGAACCGGTTCGCTCTCCTATCAAGATTTCCACTACTGGCTCTCCCGAACCGGGGAGAACCGGTAGCAACCCACCACTGGTCCAACTGCTATTCTATGTTAAATGTTCACCAGAATTTAAATATCTAGATTCAGTCTTTAAACTTTATTTTCTGTAAAGGAACAGCCACCTTAGAAAACATTGCATCACGACATGCAGTTAAACTTTACTTGGAACATTTAATCTTGGCAGATGCATTTTAAAGTGCAATCTTCCATTACATAATCCTGTAGTTCTGGAATAGCTCGAAGACAGATGAATCATCTTAACTTCTTTAAACTTAGCTATTAAAAGCTGCCTATTTTTAAACTGATCAAGGACATTCATTGGCAATACAATCTATTTTTGTTTTGTGTGAACAGAGGAAGCTTTCTAAAAGCACTTATTTGACTCCTACATCTTAATATAACATCCATGTAAAAAAATAGCTGAATTTTATCTTCATTTGGGGAAAAAATGAAATATGAACTTGTTTTACGTTATGTTATGAACACAAGGACTTTTGCCAGATTTCTCCTTGTGGAAACAGATATTTCTGTACAGAATCTTCTTTCATTTCAGAGGAATATCCAGCCTCCTGAAAGAAAAATTTCATGTTTAAATATATAAAAATAAACATGCCCTACTAGTATGTGCTCAGTATGGCTAGTTAATGTGGTACATATTTTAATAACAATATGAACTAAATGCATTATTGATTAAATTTGATTCATCAACGATTCTTGAAAGCTATATAGAAGGGAATATTTAATGTCTATATTTGTATTTTTGCTTCAAAATCAAGCAGGGGGATATTATTTTTCTGTAAAACCACTGCTCCACATTAGGCTAGGCTAAGAAAGGAAGTTGTAGTCCCCACTATTTGATGGTGAAATGGAAGGCTTCAATTTCCCACTTGCTTCAAGGTAGTTGAAAGTATTTCAGTAACTAATATATAAAGATTATGAGGCAAATATGGATGTACAATTATGAGGCAAATATGGATGTACATGCTCATCTGAACATCCTTTAGGAAACAGTCTGACACAAATTGGTAGATAGTGCTTTGAACAGTGTGGAATAGCAGAATTGGAATGCTAAGAAATCTTGGAACTGACTCTTGCTGCCTTACATTTTTATATAAAAACATGGTGAAATCTCTGAAAATATTTTAAATATTGAACTCAAACATTACCTGGGGTGGGATGTAAGATGCATTCATGATTACTACAGGATACTTGAAGTGTTCATGCAAGTGATCTACATATTCACACATCCTAAAAAGAAAAAAAATGAAATATATTTACTATTCAAACAAACTTGCATTTATTAAGATTTGCTATCCCACCTGTAAAAATATACAGGTTGTCCTTGATTTATAACTATAATTGGAAACGGATTTTTGGTTGTAGGCTGCTTTGGTTGTTAACTTATGGCATCTCCATGACTGGATCCAATTTTACGACTTTTGTGACAAAAATGGAGTTAAGCAAATCACAGTGGCATTAAGCAAATCAGTCATTAAGTGCAAACCCATACTTCCATTCTTCACAAATCATAACCATACTAACCATACTACCCTGGGACACTGCAATCAGTGGTAAAGAAGAATAAAGCACCTGTTCTGGTCCATTGTAATTTCAAGTGGTTGTTTAAGCTGTAAATTGTAAATTGATGACTACCTGTAAATACCAGTTAGATGAACAATGGAACTTGCCATGGCTGGTAAGATTCAAACCTGTTTCCATTTTAAAGACATTTTCAAAATTATACAAAGATTATTCTGAATCTTCTCTAATCAGAAATTATTTTTTGTTGCTTGATCACAGCTACACACAAGTACTTGCTTTAAGTGTTTCAAGATACATGACAAAATCCCTTACCTATTTTCAAGGCTGCCAGACACTGAAATGTAGTCAAATATTATTAAGTGCTGGACCAACTCACAAAGTCCGACCCCTCCTGCATGAGGACATACTGGAACTGGGGGGAAAAAAGAAGTAAAATTTATTGATAGTTTTTTCCTCAAAATCCCTGCTTATCTAGTCTGCTCAGACTAGATAATCCTTTCCAATTGGCCCTCCATAAATGGGAACGACATTTTCATTTGTCATCTCTGCCCACACTATCTAGATTGGAGCTCAGCCACATGCTGTTCATTACTGTTACAGAAATATGTAATTTGTTTTCATACATAGTTCACACCTCTGAGCTTGCTTTTATTAAGCCAGGCTTCTGGATGAAGCCGAATTTTCAAAATAACTATCTCAGCTACAAAGAATTATAAAACGTGTTACTTCTTGTGCGTCACTTTGTTTCTTAACATTTATCTGTTCTCTCTGTTTTCAGTGTTATTGCAACATTTACAGGAGTCTTACTTTGAAACTTCTTGGCCATCAGCAATACAGACAAGTTTTCATTGACACTTCCAAGCCTACAACTATCCACCTGGAGATAGCTCAGAGCCTGGGCCTGTAGGAACTGCTTGAACATCACTCTATTATGGCACTGCAGATAATGAAAACACACACTGTCTTAACTCAAAACACTGCATGATTAGAAAATGCTTATAAAAATGTCTGATAAATCCAAGTAACCTAGAGCAGGGGTCGCCAACCTTGGCTACTTTAAGCCTGGTGGACTTCAACTCCCAGAATTCTGGGAGCTGAAGTTCGCCAGGCTTAAAGTTGCCAAGGTTGGAGACCCCTGACTTAGAGCATTTTATTCTGGATACTTCTCCCTTTATGTTCCAAAAACTTACAGCCACTGCATATCTCCCAAATATTTGGACTCTGGATGGGATAGAAAGTAATAGTTTCCACTCTCTAAAAGTGTAGTATTCCATAAAACCAGTTAGTTATACAAAAGCATGGAGACATGCTAGTGGTTAAAACAGTCCATTTAAAAGTCATTTTGAACTGTAATTAACCCCATTTTAAGCACATTAAAATTAACACATTTACAGCCTATGGACTTTTTCTTAAACTTATAAACAGTATAAACAAAAGTGTGTTTATGTATACTCCAATAATAATAAGCATGACAAAACAGCAAGATATAAATTGACATGGTGCATTGCAATACAGGTAGTCCTTGATTTATGGCTGGTTGCTTAGCGATCATTTAAAGTTATAACAGACCCCTTCCAAGGTGCTTACAACCCAGTTCCAAACACCACCGGCTACACAACACCCTATGTGACTACATTTTGGGCACATGGCAACCAGCCAACATTTAAGGCCATTTGCAGTATCCCAGAGTTATGTGACTGTGATGTACAACATTTTTATTGAAAAACGGCATTTACTTCTGGTTTGTGGTAACAGGTTCGTTTAATGACCCACTGCAAAAATGTTGTAAAACTGGGTTGGTCACATGGATGACCTGCTTTATAAACCATTACAACTTACATCTATAATGGGCAGTTTCTATTATGGCCATAAGTCAAGGACTACCTGTATCTGCAAGAAATACCATTTGTCTGCAAGGAAGAATAGACAGAGTAACAGAAGTGAAGAAGCTAAAATATTCTGTGACTTTAGAATTCAAACAGAGAAGCATCTACCGCACAATACCCGAGACTTAACAATTGTTGGTAAGAAAGACAAAAAAGTCTGGATAGTGGATGCTGCAGTGCCTGGAGAGACCAGAATAAGAGGACAAAGATCTGGAAGAAATACCAAAATACAAAGGTCTGCAAACAGAAGCAGAAACATTGTGGAAAAAGAAAGCAAAGATAGTACTAATAGGTACCCTAGGTGCAATCTCAAAACACTACTTGAATACCACTGACATTGACAAAATCACCATCAATCAATTACAAAAGGCAGCTTTACATCTTACATCCTGCAGCAATTCCTTTAATACCATTTTTTTAAAAAAACCATCTGCCTATATCCTGAGGAAGACTCAATAGCTGGATAAAAATGCAAAATCTAATTTAAACATCTAGTTGATGGTGATATCTACCATAATTTCCAAATAAAACTTTGACTAAATATGAATCCTAAGATAAACAAAAATAGCTTGCTGAAGGACAATTTTATTGCTGCTTCCTCTTGTTCTACATTCGACATAAATATTGCAAGACCTACCCAGAAGGTAGAAGGAGGAAAGTTTAAGTCATGAATTTAAATACAATTCTGAGTACATACCTACTGAGCATGGAGTCCAGCAGGGATTACCCCTGTGTAAATAGATTAAATACTGATGCCATCACATACATACCCTGTGTGATCATATATGAAAATTTTTCTCATTAAAAAATGCTGTAAAAATGCATTATCATGATGGCAAAATAATTTATTTATTTATTTATTTATTTATTTATTTATTTATTTATTTATTTATTTATTTATTTATTTATTTATTATTCATATTTCTATGCCGCCCTCTCTCTGAGGACTCTGGGCGGCTTACACCAGTAGTGTCTCCTGCTGGAGCTTTACTTTCAGTGAATATGTAGCCATTTCCGTATTTTCTTGGTCACAAAATTTGATACAAAATAGGTAATTTGTTACTGTCATCTTCTGCAATCTTTCCAACTTCCCAATCTAGTCTATAATTGTAAAATTTCCCACCAGAGACTCCTCAGAGCATTTGAGATCAGCCAAGGTTGGTCAGGTGCTGCCCCCTACTGTAGTCGATTGTCATTGCACAATATTACAGTATTCCTGTACTAATCATAAAGGGGTTAAATTCAGCTAATTTCAACTGATAGGATACAAAGCTACTCAAATCAGCTGGGTCTGGAAAGGGATTCTTCGAAGTCATGGGGATCAGCTCCTTCTCTCAAGGAAATATTTCAGCCATCCCCATCTATCAGACTTCTATGACAGATCTAACTAGTCAACAATGAATACGGATCAAGTATATGGTAATTATCTCATTTCTGAGAAACCTATCCACATTTTAAGGTTAAATTAACTGAATGGTATTTAAAACACACACACACACACAAAACCATGGTTGAGTCCATACTTATTGTTTCTTTAATATATAATGGCACCAAGTAGCAGCAAACTTCTGATTTTATCAGAACTATCAAAACAAAATTTCCCAAACAGAATTCAAGACAAATGTAGGTAAAGAAGCTATGGTGAGGTATCAGAAAGTTATCTTGTCAACATTCAAAATATATAATTAAGGATTAGTAAATAAACTTACTTGTTCTCCTGTTGCAACACCAATCCCTAATGGTGCTAATGCCTAAAAAAAAAAAATTCCACAGGTTTTTAAGCGTGTTCAAATATAGTTATTCACAACAAATAAACAAAATGCCATTTCTGTAGTTTGTCCATATTAGAAGAAAGTTGAAAGCATCAATAGAACTGCTAATATTTTTTGTTTTGAAATTAATCAATTAGTTGATTATATAAGTATTACCATATTTTTCGGAGTATAAGACACTTTGGACTATAAAACGCACCTACCTTTTTTGGTGAGGAAAAGAAGAAAAAGAAATCTGCCTCTGCCTCCCAGCAATTTTGCCTCATTGCAGCAAACAGCAAATAGCCTGCTTTACTTTCATTTTCATTCTCAGCATAGCTTGATTAGCACAAGAAAAAAAAATCTGCTCCCAGCAATTTACCTCCTTGCAGCAGCAGCAGAGGCCTGTGCAGCAATAGGCAATGGCAATCCCTGCAGCCTGAAACAGCTGAGAGTCAGGAGGCCAATCCAAGGGACAATCAACTTGTGCTAATTAGGCTGTGCTGAAGCTGAAATGGGCTGTTTCTTCTTGCTGCTTGCTGCAAGGAGGTAAATTGCTGGAAGGCAGAGGCCATAGGGTGGAGGCCAGTGGGTGGGCGGGGCTACATTTGGTGTATAAGACACACCCACATTTTCACCCCCATCACCCCTGAAAAATACGGTACATAAAGAGAAAGCATGTGAGCATAAAGAATGCACTTAAATCATAAATGACTTAGTTATGCATGTTAAACCAGCATGAAATCAATAGTTCTTACACAGTACTGTATTTCTACTATGGTGCACAGATAAGCCTCTTATACTCTAATGAAGTTTGAATATAGTATCTATTTTGTATATAATTGGGACATTAGATACAAATATATTAAAAATATATGATTCACAAGAGTAGTGCTGATTGACCATATATGAAAATACATTTTAGGCTTTTATTATAGTCTAAAAATATGAAAATCATTTAAATTTAATGAAATACTTGTTGAGTAGTGAAAGGATCTCTTACCAGGCATATGTTAATAACTTTTGCTAGAATCCTGAAGTTCCAATGTAGCTCTCCAGCCAATAAATCAACATGGCTTCTGGTGGATAGCAAGTCTATTAACTGAAACCATGTCTTTTACCTTAGCAATTCTTGCATGCCCCAGAATATCATCAGGAGAAGTTGGTTCCTCAATCCATAGCGGTTTGAACTCAGCTAGTTCAGTGACCCAGTCTATGGCTTCTTCTACCTCCCATCTTTGGTTAGCATCCAACAACTATGAATAAATACAGTCTAAATTCAGGATGGTGCTGTTCCTGTAACTATAACATTAAGACAGGTGTAAAGTGACATAGGCTTAAGGCAAATTTCCTACTGCTAAGATTGTCAATGCCCTAAATGACATGGTATCTGCTGGCTAACATTACTGAAAATTTATTTTGAAAAAGTGTTACTGTTATTTTTATTTCATTTTTTAAAAAAAACAAAACCAAGGTTACATTTAGCAAACATGCCGAGACCAAAAAAAAATTCCTCTGTATCTCCTAAATCCTATATAATTCTAAAAAATTCACGGCACTAAAAAGAAGACTTGACTAATCTGTTTCTAGTAAGATTATTTTTTTTCTATTTTTCAAATTCTAAAATATAACCTATTTGGCATCATACAAATATACATACATACCAGTGTATTTTCAGGACCAATCATTTCTCTGACAAGTTTGCATCTCCGAATGTCATCCTGGAGATCTTTTCCGACTTTCACTTTAAACCTAAGCACACATTTGCAATCAAATATGAACTATTTTTCAATAACTGACAAACCTATGACAATTTTACTGTAGAAAAACATTCACTTGTATCATTCCATATTATCAATATAATCAGGAAAAAAAAATGAGTGGGAAAATTCCAGTGAGGTTGGGCTCAAGTAAGAGGAGACTTTCTAAAATTCAAGGAATTTGACATTACATCAGGATTAGTTTATTTTAAACTTGGGCATTTTGAACTTCTACAAATCCTTTCCCTTCCATCCAGGCCAGGGGTCCCCAGTCTGTACCATGTTCCAGTCTGTGCCATGCCAGAAACAAGGGAAGGCCCATCTGGGAGATGCAGGTAGCATGTGAAACCACGCCCCTTCCTATCTGGGGAACAACCTCTCCCCGTGGAATCGGTCCCTGGTGCCCAAAAGATTGGGGGCCGCTGATCCAGGCAATGTAAAATATGCCTAATAAAATGATTCTTCACAGAAACATTAAAGGGAGTTTCCTAAAATCTTCAAATCTTTTCTTGCTCAACCAGAGTTTAATTCCTGATGATTACATGGCCATGGAAACACTATGGAAGTATTTTTTTTAAGAAGTTTCTTTTCTTTAACATCTCTACATGCTGCAGCAGTGTTTCTGAACTTCAAATCAAGGTTCAGGTTCTATTGCTTTTTCTGCCTGCCTATGCAATGCAGTGAGTTAGATCAATTTTTCTCAACTTCAGCAACTTTACGGTGTATGGACTTCAACTTCCAGAATTCCCCAGGCACTAGCTTGGGAATTCTGGGAATTAGGGTCCACATATCTTAAAGTTAGTGAGGATGAGAATCGCTGTATTACATCCTTGAGCTATCTTGTGGTCTTCCATCCAAAAATGAATCAAGTCCAATGCTGTGTAGCTTAAGGTCATCCAAGGTTGATTTGATGCTGCCTATCATCTTAGCTCAAATCTTTATAAAGATCTGAACATGATGCACTCAGTGCTGTTGTCCCTGACAAAATCTGAGCAAAGAGCACCAACCCTCTCACTGTGTCCATAAAGAAGGGAGTGGAGGGGTGGAGGACACTGGCAGAAAGAGAGGCTGGTATCCAAAGCATGTTGATGAATTGAGCCTGAACTCTTAAGATGCCTAATTAGCTTTAGAAATTCAATATGAACAAAACTGTAAATCAAACTCAGCCAGTGGAAGCTTTAGCATGTTTTTTTCTTTACAGATATTGGGAAAACATTATTATATTTTGCCTCTCTACTGACTCAATGAGCTGAGTCAACATAGAGTTGCCAGCCAGAGCCCTAACACAGAGATTCACTTTCTGTAATAGGCTCTTCACAAATTAAAGGTTATTGTGTGGACGGCAAAACCTACAGATGTATATAATGCTTCCATGCTTGTTAATATGCCATATATGCTTTCAGGTAAGCCCAAAATTGGCTTTGGCTTATCTGTGGATGAGCTTATCCACAAGTATATAGTTTTCTAAAGTACTCATACCCTCTGCGTGTTCTTACATAAAAAAGCCATCCATGGGTAAGCCAATTACCAACTCTTTCATCAAAATACCACGAAAATTGTAGGTCATCTTATTTGCAGGTGGCCTTTTCATGATACTTTGATGAAAAAATTGAGAGTCGGCTTATCCACAAGGACATATGGGTATGTCACTGCAAGAATCAATGGTGTGGATAATCTGCTTTAGATAGGAAGATAATCATCAATTTGATCTTTCTATCCCAGCAATTTTGGATAGTTAAAGCCAGTGAGTTTTGTTATCGGCAGGATTAAGGGAGAAACCGGTTCAAATAGACATTCAGTGATACCAGCTCAACGAATGACTATAGACCAGTCTTTATTTCTCTGGGTAGTTGCATTTATGGAAAAAGAAGAGAATAGCACATCTGCTGCCATAAAAAAAAGGGAATGGAATAAAGAAGTATTACTTGTGATAAACCATTTTCAAAAAGCAGAATTTCATCTCTCAGCATCTTCTACTGTGCTTAGAAGAATGCACAAGAAAAACACTACTGTACCTGGTCCATCCATCCTTCAGAGCTTCAGTGCATAGCTGCCAAGAAAATTACATCAATCAGACCTCTAGCAAGTATAAACTATCAGACAGACAGACAGAAACACACACATATAAGATTCATTGATCACTTGGCCTTTTCTAACCAGCTACGTTCCAGTGGCACCTACCCCAACCAGCAAGACTAATGACTGGTCTGTGGCTCAGCCAAGTCATCTGAAGAACAACCATTAGAGAAGCCTTGATAAGAGCTCTTGCTTAAAAAACAAGAGGTGTGGGTGGAAGTAGCAGCTACAATCCACGATTAGAGAGGGTAATTTCTTCACCCCTGTTGCAAGCAAAAACAGGGTGCATATATAAAACTGTAAAAGGAATATGATTTATTTCACAAACTCTGCGTATCATAAGCAAGTCAGTCAAATGGGACAAATAAACAGAATTAGTTTATTCTCTTGGCAAATGCTAGAACTGAAAGTGGCAAAGGCAGAATGCGGCAATGCAGATTTCTGATAACTAACCTTACAACAAGAGCTAATGAAGCTATTTTGAAAGAATTTTAGCCAGTCCTAGTCAACAAGTAATACAGGTAGTCTTCAACTTATGACTATTTGTTTAACAATGGTCCAGAATTATGAGGGTCACATGATTGCAATCTGGGTACTTGGCAATGCATTTCCACTTACAACCGGTTGCCAAGCACCCGTGACCATCATCTGCAATCTTTTTGACAAGCTTCCCCAGAAAATCAATGTGAAGCTTGCAGAGAAGGTTGTAAGTTGCTGCTGCCTGCCAAAAGGACTCTCTGTTGTCTCTGGGGATTGACTGAGATGACTGCCAATGGAAGCTGAACCTTTCTGGTGGGATGCAGAGATGGAGTTCAGATACTTAAGATTTGAAGAGCCAAAATCCAAACAGAGAGTAGAGAGGCAGCGCAGAAGGTAATGACCATGGGATGCCTCAGGCAGGGAGGGAGATCCTGGAAAGGCTAGTGGAGATTGCATGCGGATTTCTCTTCAATCAGAGGCTGAAAATGCTGCTTGGATTTCAGCAGGGGATTTTCAGCTTCTGAATGGAGCCTCCCGGGCTCTTCCCCAATCCCCCTGCTGCACACCTTACCTGGGATTGCATCTGCTTAATGACCCTCAAGATTGCTTAACAACCACAACAGGGATTGCTTGGATTACGGTTGTTGAGCAAAACAATCACATGACATCTTACTTAACAATGGAAATTCCGGTCCCAACTATAGTTGTAAGTCGAGGACTACCTGTAGCGAGATCAAATTCTGCTGCTTTTTCTTCTGGCCTGTGCAATGCAGTAGATTATAGGATTTTCTCTTTTAGTAGGAGAGACTATTACTCCACATGGTAACAGATTAGACTGGTTTCGGGCTATTTGCTTCTGACCTTGCAGAATTAATTCGTGTAATCTCTTTCTTAGGTGGACATTCTGCTCCAAAGATGTTATTATGAGTGTCAAGATGGCATAATAATAAACCAGTGGTAACCATCTCTAACACATCCAAGCCAACCAAGGCAGGGGTGAAATGCTCCCGGTTCAGACCGGATGTCCGATCTGGTAGCGATGGAGGCAGGTGGTTCGGAGAACCGGTAGCAAAAATCCCTGCCCCCCCCCATGCCCAGCTGAACCGCACAATCATCAGAGGCTTTTTTTTAACTTTTAAAAGCATTTTTTCTCCAACCTCTTCAGCCAAAAAACGCTTTTAAAAGTTAAAAAAAAAGCCTGATGATCGTGCGGTTCAGCTGGGATCTTCAAAGGCTTTTAAAAGAAAAAAAATCCTTTTTTTCTTTTAAATGCCTCTGACGATCCCAGCTGAGTTGCCTGATCGGCAGAGGCTTTTTTAAAAAGCCTCTGCCGATCAGGCAACTCAAGCTGGGATCGTCAGAGCCTTTTGAAAGCATTTTTTTACAACCTCTTTGCCAAAGAGATTGTAGAAAAAATAGTTTTAAAAGTAAAAAAAAAAAACATTGGCCACGCCCACCCAGTCACATTATTCCCCCACCAAGCCACGCCCACAGAACCGGTAGTTAACAAATTTTAGATTTCACCACTGAAGCAAGGGTACATGTCACCATTTACAATAGAGCTTGATTTTAGAATTTCCCCCGCAGTGCTAATTCGGTTATTTTTTTGTGGCATATTTGTGCATCTCAAAGATGAAATGAGGATAATGTGGAAAAAACAAACCTGCTTTAGGGAGCGGTCTGGATAACCTAGCCAGGCACATGATGTGGTATAAGATGGGTAGCCATATTTTAACATTTGTTCTTCTACAAATATATAAAATGATGCAAGCAGTTAAATGTGATTTCCTTGCAACAGATTTCATACCCTGGAAAGCCCTTATTCCCACAATGTGATATGGTAATAATTCAGAAAATAATTCAGAACAAATCAAAACCCTCGATTTTCACAAAAAAGTAGGGCTACCAAGAAAGTATGATTGCTTTTCCAGCAGGTGGATGTTATTTTTTAACATCCTAAAACCATCCTAAGATACATAATAATCCTTTAATTAATTATTGATTTGACAAGGAAACAAATACTTTGATGCTTACCCCGTTCTTTTTTTCCCGCCAAACCAGTTTGAAGAATTGCTAGTGAAATGAAAAGATAAAGTGTAAATCAAATCCAAAACAGATCATTAATTTTGTTTGGTTTTTAAATATGATCTATTAGAGGAAAAAACCCGATACAGATCATTTTGCACACAGATAGATTTGCACAATGAAAACGCTTGTGAATTTCCCTGAACCACGAAGGAGGGCTATCATTTCCAGGTTGCAAATATCCAAATGACTGCTAGATGGCAGCAAGTAGTTACAAAAAAAACCCCAATTATCTTTTTTTGCCATCTGTTATACAGAAATAATATAGAAAACCATTCTACAAGGGCTGTAAAGATTGCTGAGTTACTGTATACTGTAATTATTGATTGAGATATTTAGTTTTTGCTACACAAACAGACCCCAAAGTATCAAGACTGCAAGTGTCATCTTTCAAATGCTGCTACTGAACTGGAATATTTAAGGTGACCAAAGGGGAACATGATGAAATATATACAGTAAGAACTGCAGTATTTAATTAATACATTTAAAAGTTCAAGCATATCCCTCCCGAGTAAGATAAAACAGCTTGAATTTGGAGGCCTATTAAAACAACTTACAAAAAGCTTCTTCTTCTGTTAATGCATCAGTAATGTATCTGAAATCTATGCAAGATAACAACTGCTTGGGGTCCTATAAAGAAAAGAGAAGGAAACCATGCTAAAATTAGCCAGAGAAATGACAGAATGATACATACCAGGGATGTCAAACTCAAGGCTGGATTCGGCCCATGGGATTCTTAGAGTTGGCCCAAAGGGCCACCCTGGAAACAGTGAAGGACTCATTCCGCGGTGCCTCTGCCAGCAAAAACAGAGTTTAGGAAGGCCTCCTACAGCCCTTCCAAGCTCCGTTTCGGCCTGTGACGGCCTCCTGCATCCCTCTGCCAGCAAAAATGGAGCTCAGGAGGATGTCAAGCTGGTCACACCCACTCATCCCGAGGTCAAACACAACCCTGATGCAGCCCTCAATGAAATCGAGTTTGACAGCCCTGATATATACAGTCCATTTTTGCTTAGGCTTTCACAGCAGGGGGATATAGTTGTTACATTATCATCATAAGATTTTATAGGACTTCAATTTGCAGTAGAGGGTCTGAACCCCATAGAATAGCATTTTTCTGTCCATAGCTGAAGAATATCAGGGTAGGATGAAACCAGTCATGTAGCTCCCAATAGTCAATGTAATTATAAAATGCTACACAGGACACACACGGTGTATAAATAGAGAAACGCTCCCCCTCTAAGAGAGGGTGTTGAAGTCATAGAAAACCGGGTGCAGACTACCTGCACATGAAGGATTCCAATACGGAACAGTGCCTCCTGGTGGTCAGTGTAACTATTAAGACTAGATACAACACACAAATGTTTTCACTTGTGTGCAGGGGTAACATCCATGTGCAAAAACTAGGCTAAGTCAGTAAGCTCTTCCTTAATTGGAAGTGATATACACATCCTCATTAAAACACAATGGCTTCAACTCACACACTAAGTAACTCAGAAGAACAGGAACAATGACTCTTCCTAAATAACACGGTCATTCTTCTGTACGATATCTTATCTATATATGGCTAAACCTCTCCTGTTTATCTGTTTGCAACCTTCAATTGGGTGAAATGATGCATCATAGGACAAAATGTTTGAGCCAAGGCATTAGCCCATTAACATGGGATAATGTACAGAACATGTCCAAAATTTAGGAACCATCACTTCTATGAGATTGAAATTTCACAAAGTTTGTGAAATTTCACAAAGTGGCTGCTTCAAATGCTGCCATACTGCCACGATCAGTTGCAGAGAAGTCATCATTTCCAAGGTTCCCTGCCAGCTTTCCTCAAGTCGATGGGTGAACTGGCAGGAAATATAAACTCAATCATGACTGCTGATGTTCTCTGCCAGCTTTCCACAAGCAAAATCAGTGGGGAAGCTATCAGGCAGCTGCAAATTGGAGGCCAGTGTGCAGGTAAGTGGCTGCTGCCAGGTGAGGGAGGTTGTAAGGGGGTGAGTAAGAATGTGGTTAGGGTTGGGGATGTGTGAGTGAAATGGCACAGAATAGGGAGGGTGTCTGAGAGTGCCTGAGTGCTACAACAAGGGTCAGGGAGGATGCTCAAGGATGCACTGATGTGCCATGGTGGCGCAGTGGTTAGAGTGCAGAACTTCAGGCTACTTCTGCTGATCACCGGCTGCCAGCAGTATGGCAGATCAAATCTCATCAGGCTCAAGGTTGACTCAGCCTTCCATCCTTCCAAGGTTGGTAAAATGAGGACCCAGATTGTTGGGGGCAATAGGCTGACTCTGTAAACTGCTGAGAGAAGGCTGTAAAGCACAGTGAAGCGGTATATAAGTCTAAGTGCTATTGCTATTGCAGGTCAGGGAGAGCGCAGGTTGCGGACAGCGTGTGAGAGTTCACGGGTATCTGACATCACATGAGCACAGAGGGAATAGGGGAAGATGGGGAAGACTTACCTGAACAAATTATAACTTCCCTGCCAGTTCCCCCATTGACTTTCTTCCCACAAGCAAAGTCAATGGGGAAGCTGGCAGCAAGTCATAAATTGCTCCTACTCGCATGTTTTTTTACCTGCCCAAAATCATTCTGTTAGGTAAATTTGTTTAGGTAAATAAATATCTCTGAAATGATAACATAACTGAAACAATGACCCAACAGGTCACGGGTTATCTAGTTACAATTATTTTCAAAACTGCATCATAAAAGCATTATATTAATCACTTTGAGATTCCAAGATCAGAAAATAAATAAATAAATACCGGTACATTAAAAAAATATAAAATGTCATCTAATATTCATGAGTGATTGTTTCAGGCAGAAAAAAAGTTTTGAACAGAAATCCAAAAATAAACCTGTGTACGAGATTATTTACCTTCAAATCTAAATTTAAACATTTTAAAAAATGTACAATATTAACAGTTTAGTTAGTTATGATGTCTAGTCTGACTGTTCTCAATATATTTAAGCATGCTAACTCAGCATCCAATGCTCTGAAAGAAATATATTATTTTTAAATAATGGCTTGATTTTTTTTTTCTTACCATGTCAACCAGCAGTTTCCAGAGAGGCTTTAAAAAGGGGGGGCAGGAGAGAGAAAGAAAAACATTATGAAATTCTTAAACATAGAAATAACATTTTAAATTACAAAAAAAAATAATAATTATTATAACCGTATGAGACATAAAGCAGGCCAGTTCACAAGCCAGCTATAGATACGTTGTTGATCCAATCTCTAGAGCTTGCATAGTAAGCTGTGCCTGATAAAATGTCTATTACATTATTCAAGGTGCCAGCTTTGAACTACAAAGTACAAATACCATGAAATCAGAATATCTAAAAGCTGCTTCCACATAAATTTATTTTAAGTTTATTCTGTAAAGTTCTTTGCCTGTAAATATCTGGCAAGTTGTGACAGATGAGAAACAGCTAATCCTCTAACACATTTCATTTCTGGAATAAACTTTTTACTTCTACAGACTTGGCACACTTGTTTATAAATTTGGGACAATGAGTAAGTACGGTGTGATTCACTCATTTAGCATATGTGTTTGATTGTTGCTACTTTGAATTCTGTTTTGTTTGTTTTTACTTCATCATATTACCATATGATGGAATCCTGCCAAATAGTTGCGAGAAGCGCAACTTGTGGCTTGCCAGAAGTTGCTGAACTATTATTTCCACCGCCACAAGTCAATATGATCAATAGAGACAGATGCTAGGACTTTGTAATATACATAACAATCTTGAGAGAGTTCTCTGTTCTTTGTCCCTGGTCTAATCAATTAAGTATCCTCAAAATATGATAATGTTCTACAGTGATATTTTGAGGAGGCTCACAATGTTCTGGCAATTATAGCAGTTCTACCTACTCAACCAGCCATCACATTTTTACTAGGTTGATAAATGAAAGGCAGATTTAAAAAAATCTATTTTTATTTTTAAAAAACCTCACAATACAAAACACCAAAAATAAATGATAATTGAAAAACAATTTGGAGGGGAGGAAGAATTGGATTTTTATTCCAAGTTGAGCATATGTTCAAAGGCACTCTTTGCCTTCTGACTATGATTTGAAGCCCCAAGATAGAGACAAAAATATATACAAGAGTTCCAAAACCTTAAAGTTTTATATATTTTTATTTCAAAATAAAAGGATCACACTATTGTAACTTACTATATAAGAAGAAAGTGATAACATAAAAATAGCACTGTGAAGAGAAGTCCTAAATGACTCAGACTACATTCCTACACTATTTTTAATAATTGAATGATATGTAATTTTTACAATTTAGAAAATATTGGTTCAAAACCACAGAGAAGCACAAAAGCATGATTTAAACAATTTAACATATAAAGTACTTAAATCTAGCGGGGTACATTCATGTTCATGAAAAACAGCACTGCAGGACAGGATGAAAGAAAGAAAGAAAGAAAGCAGTATTTATTCAAAGACAAAGAGTGATACTTTACCTTTCTTTCTTGTTTGGCCCAAAGATCCCAGACAGCGTTCAAAATGGCAGCTGTGGCCAAATGCACAGCTCCTTTCTCGGGACCAATCTATTAGCAAAACAAAAACAAAATCTGTGTTATTAAATTTTATGACAGCCAAGCACAAGTGTGTAAGGTTTCTATCATTGCTATTATTTGTGGATTAACTGAACTATACATTAGCTACACAAGAACTTGCCTTACAGAATTAAAAACTATTTGATTCCATACAGCTCTGCAGGTCTATCATCCTTGTTTAGCAGACATGTTGCAAATGTTTATTCATAAGGAAGCACTCAGTGAGAGTTAAATAAATTAAATACTATTCTATTACAGTGGTAGAATATAACTATGCAGAATTTTTGTTTTGCTGTCTTTGAATCAGTGTTGACTCTTATCACTGCCTGGTCTAGACCCTGAAGTTTTCTGACAATGGACTTTATGTACGGTGTGTTTTTGCAAAAATGAACAAGCCTAAAATGTGTCTGCACAAATCTAAGTGTCTTAGAGTGAGTGAGTTTTGGATAAGGAGGTTCTTCCAAAACAAAAACCTTTGTTTTGAGAGTGAGGAATTGAATAGGAGGAGGGAAAGAGTGACTGAAAAGCCAGCTTATAGCTAATAAAAACATTTGGTTGGAAAAGGAACCAGAAAGAAAGAGAAATGAGACCATTTTTAGGCTATATGTTCTTGATTCTCAGGAACAGGTTGTAATTCTTTAGAAGATCACAGAAGGAAGGGAAGGAAGATAGAGATCTGCAGGATCATCTCAGTGCATTTTCAAAGTGTCTTCCCAAGAAGTAAGAATGTTTCAGGAATAAAGGATTACTGATCAAGTTTAGGGCTACAATATGCAGATCAATCCCTTTCTTATATTCATCAGATCAATGGGATTTTCTTTCAATTTTGACCTTGATATTAACATTTTTCAGAATTTGTCAGAAGCTGATGGGGAAAATAGGAATGGAATTCAAAACTGCCAAAGTTGGAAGTGTGGAAAGTCACAAATTCTGTGATTTAAAAATGTAAATGAGTAAGAAGTTGGGTGACAAAAATACAAGAATTTAAGTAATATTTCTATTTTAGATCATTCTAATGCACCATTTTCTTTGAAAGCCCTATTTTATGTAGTATTTTGTATAAAGCAACTACATAAAATCAAATTATTTTCTCTTCTCATGTTCTTAAAGAACACCTACATGCATATATTAGCCTTGTTGAAAATGCTGTAAGTTATCTTACCCATCGGAGCTGCCCATCACTGGTGAGCTGTCTGTAGAAGCCTCGAAAATCACTGATTATGTCATCCAAATCTTTATTAATGATATGAATTGACAGTGCATGGACTGCACTGATAACTGAAAGAAATAATCACCATCTGGAGATTACTACAAATGCAGTATTATCTATTTATTTAGAATATGGTGAACAATGGAAAAGAAACTAAAATATATAAAAAAGAAATAACAGGATTGTAATTTATGAAACTCTTGTTATTGGGTATATTAAAGTAACACACATAGATACCAAAGTTTGGCTCCAGAATCTGCCTCTCTTACTATAAAAATAGAAATATTAACACTGACACAGTGAGGTCAGTGTTAATGAGCACTCTAGGAGTGTTTTTCTAGGCACACACAATTCAATTCCAATAAATGTCAAATGTGGTGGGGAGGAAGAGGCAGCCTGTTTTAAGGACTGCAATATCAGTATTGTAGGTATGTTGTAGTGGAGAGAAGGTAAGCAACAAGCAGATCAAGGTAAACTCAACTATTACATTTTTAAAGCCCAAATCTACAAATATTAATTGCTTACACAGGTCAGAACATGATTTATGAATATTGACTGACAAACCAAAATGGGGTCATCATAGTGTCAATTTGGGTTTCTTAAATAAATCATGACATAATGTGTTGTATTTAAACCGGCCTTTGACGAGGAAATGGAAACACATCAGAAAAGTCTGTCCTGAAGAGGGTCTTTTCCAAAAAAGAAACAAAGGCGTAAAGGCGTTATTTCATTCTCATGAGGACCTGGTTTGTGGGGGCAATAAGCTGACTTTGTATAAAAAACAACACCGCTTGGAGGGAGTATAGTATATACCTACTAAGGTATATACTATACTCTACTATACCTACTTAGTATATACCTACTAAGCAGGTATATACAAAAGTATGAAGGCTATTGCTTAACGCATTGTAAGCCGCCCTGAGTCTCCGGAAAAGGGCAGCATATAAATCGAACCAATAAATAAATAAATAATAAATGGTATATTGGGGGAAGCCAAGCCTGGGTTAGCCTAAGAACTTACCCACTTCTGTGCCTTTTCCCAGCGTAAATGTAAAGCCACAACCTTTCAAGCCATCGGGAGCATCCGTTTCTATGACCACGTAGGCTGCGGAATAGTCTGGATCTGGATGCTAAACAGAAGAATCAATAAAGGCTCGACATTGGGAAAGCAGCGCAACGCGCACAGGTCCGGATTTACAACTGAAAACCGGAGCGGCGTCTGTAATCCAAATCGCGTTAAAAATCCAACAAATGGAACTTGCCTCAAGTTAACTTCCAGGCAAGCAGGCCGCGATCGGGGGTGGTGGTGGTGGTGGAATGCAGCCGGAGCTCCGTTTAACTGGGACAAAGAGGCCCCGAAGGCCTGTCTAGACGAGAACAGCGCGGAAGAACGAGCGCTCTCTTGCAAGTTGCCGTAGAAGTGGGTCCAAAGTTCGGCACCCTTGCGCACCCGAGGCCGGGGCTCCTTGCCCTCCCCGACGTTCAGGCTGTCGCTCTGCCCAGCTCCGCTGCGCTTACCATGGCATCTGACCCGTGTTGAGCCAGAGACGTGGGGAAGCGGACGTCGCTCACAGCCAGAGCGCGGATCCTCCCTCTCCCCATCCCGCAGGCAGCGCTCGCCACTCGAGGAAGCGGGACAGCGACTCTCGCGCTCGGGAATGGCTCCTTGGACGCCGATTGGCCCGCAGGAAGGGCGGGCCGAGCCGAGTCGCAGCTGGAGAAGGGGAGGGAGCAGAAGGAAGGGAGCGCCCGGGTTGCTTGCAGCGCAAGCTGTGGTCTATGAAAACCTTTATAAATGGGCAGCCCTAATCTTTTTAAAGGGTGTAGAGCCGCTTACGACTTCCAGGAACCATATGAATAAGTGCAGTGTTTTGGGAGGGGAGAGGCGCCTAACAATAATTCAAAAGTGGGTTGGGTTCTTTTTTTAAAAAAAATATTTTTCCCCACTTCATTTTTCAGTGTTGGGATTTCCGAATGGCGGGTCATCCAAGCCTTAGCCACATCCAATCCTCTTAGCTTTTTTTAGTTTTAGATAATGTTAAGAATACAAATCCTAGCGGGTGGTGCTCATCTCCAATTCAAAGTCGAAGAGCCAGCGCTGTCCAAAGACATCTCCGTGGTCATGTGGCCGGCATGACTAAAGGCCAAAGGCGCATGGAACGCTGTTATCTTCCCACCAAAGATGGTCCCTATTTTTCTACTTGCATTTTTTACGTGCTTTCGAACTGCTAAATTGGCAGAATCTGGGACAAGTAACGGGAGCTCACCCCGTTATGCAGCACTAGGGATTTGAACCGCTGAACTGCCGGTCACCTTTTGATCGAGAAGCTCAGCATCTTTAGCCTAGACCAGTGATGGCTAACCTTTTTGCCATTGCGTGCCAAAAGTGTGGGGGGGAGCGTGGGGGGGGACACACGCACGTGTGCCCACGTGCATAATTCTATGTGCCGCTCCCCTCTCATGCTCCCCCTGCTTTTGGCACACGATGGCACGGTGGGTCCAGTAGGCCCATTTTTTGCTCTCCCCAGGCTCCAGAGCCTTTCTAGGAGCCTGGGGAGGGCAAAAAACAGCCTTCCCCACCCTTCCTGGAGGCTCTCCGGAGGCCGGAAACAGTGTGTTTCCTGACTTCTGGTGGGCCCAGAAGCAGGGCCGGATTTTCCTATAGGCTAACTAGGCTTCAGCCTAGGGTCTCAAGATCAAGAGGGGCCTACATTCAAATTGTTAGCAAAATTAAAATTACACTTTCACTATAGGTGAAAGGGCCTCATAAGTGGAATAGCCTAGGGCCTCATTTCCTTGATGAGGGTGTGACATTGTCCAGATGAGGGTTATATCAGTCGGATCTGATGCTGGCTGAGTCATAACTTTTGACCACTCCCCTTGCTCCGCCCCTTTCATGCCCAGTTTAGACTCAGTCGGCCTGAGAGAAACATCTCCTACAGATCTGGCTATACAGCCCAGGTCTGTTCAATATCACAGAATTGTAAGTCTTTTTGACCACCTTTTTATTTCTATAGCTTAAAATTGTTACTTCCCCTTTAAATTTTTCCCCCCCTTCTATTGTAGCCTGCCGGTTTTGCTTTGCTAGAGCCTCCTAAGCTGCAGGCTTTGCTTCGCTCCTGGCGGCGGCCATTTTGAAAGCCCCATTTTAAAAGGGAACTTTTTTCCTTTTTCTTTTTCCTGTCTTTTTTGGGGGGGATTTTTTTGATCTATCCCACCAACGATTGTTTAAGGGGCCCTAGACCACAATACCACCAACAATAATAGCAATTACCTAATTTTAAGGGAAATTGCCAAATCGGGCCGCCGCCCACCCTACAGCGATCCCAAAACCGCTGATCAGCTGTAGAGCGGTTAATTGAAGCCCCGCGGCAATTTTAAAAGGAAATTTTTGCCGCTTTGCCACCAACGAGTCTGCAAGTTTGGGGGGGGGCAGCAAGCTTCTTCTTGCCTTCCCCTGTGGCATTTCCAGCCAGTATTTTAATTTTTTTCTCTTTGTGGCTGGGGGGGCGCTGAGGAGGTCCGTTTCTAGGCTTGCCTAGACAGATACCTCCAGAGCAGAGTTTTCCTCCTGCTCAAGTATGACCTGGCAGCCATCGTGCTTAACGCCAGAGTCGTTGCCATCTCAAATTTCAACCACGTGGTGAAACTGAAACCAAAAGCTATTTCTCCAGTCGACATCGTGGTCGCAGTGAGTATACTAAAGATGGCAGATCGCTCTTCCCATGGGGAGGAAAATACTATGTACACTGGGAAGAAATCAACTTCCAAACGTAAGCACCTTTCTAAGCCTGAGGAGAAGGATTTAGCAAAGAGGCATAAATCTCTAGAAAAGCAAGCTAGTGAAGTGCCTGCAACTGAGCCTGATAAGGGGACCCCCCCCCCATCTACCCCCCCTCCTCCCATTTCAACTGTTAGCCAGGCCTGGTCTTCGGAGGGAGAGGGTAATGTTCTTCAACAAGACCAAAGCAATTTGCAAAACCCCTTTGCAAGTCAATTAATGACCCCTGCAACTCCTGTATTTGGTGGGCCTGCAGCTGCAGCTGCTTCAACAGGTGAATCCTCTATGCCTGTGCTAACCCCCGAAGATCCTTTAAAAAATGTGCCAGAAGGATTGAGAATTCTGATTGAACAGGCCATTGCTTCTAGAATGGCAGCCAATATTCATGGTCACCACTCTGGCTCTGCTATTTCAGAGCGATCTGCCCGTATTAGAATTTCTCCTGCAGTCAGTCTTACTGGCTCTCATTCTCCTGCAGCCTCCAGAGTTAGTGAAGCCTTTGTGTTTGAGGAAGAGAGACATTCTGACCTATCAGATGATGAGGGGTTAATCCAAGATCAACCTGCCTTTACAGGATTATTTCCCCCCAATAAATTCAAGTCTTTATTGCATAAGGCTCGCTTAACAGCCGCCTTAAAGGAAGATGAATACTTTCAAGAGATGCAGGAGGCTCAAAAGGGTGGACTACAGGGACCTTTTTTTGAGCCCCCCCCTGAACTTTGTTATGTACCAACTCCACAACTGTTCATAGACGTGGTAAAGAAACAGTGGGCTGGGCCTGCAACCATGGCATCTGCACATGGTTCAGATAAGAAATATTATGCTGTTGCTCCAAAGTTTGCTCAACTCTTGCAAGTTCCACCTGTAGACAGTCCTGTAGCGGCCCTTTCCTTTTCTTCTTCATACGTAACTGGGGATACTTCTGAAGGTCTAAGGCCAGAAGACAAAAAGTTAGAATTTCTGTTTAAAAAGAACCATCAGGCCTCGGCATGGGCAATTCAATCAGCTTCATCAGCCTCATTTTTTAATAGAACTACCATCCTTTGGCTTCAACAGTTACAGGCAAGGGTACCCCCCAGTGAGGTTCGCCTTCATCAGGATATTAATAAAATCATTGCTGCCACTCAATTTTCGGCTGATGCAACCTTGAATTCAGCCAAATTCGCATCCAGAGCCTTAGCCTCTACAGTTTCAGCCCGCAGGATGCTTTGGCTTCGCCAATGGCCTGCTGACCTTAAGGCCAAATGGCGCTTGGCTGCAGCTCCATATTCTGCAAACAGACTATTTGGGGAATCACTTGACCCTCTTCTTGTAGAGACACGGGACAAGCGAAAAATTTTGCCCTCAACATACAAACGGGCTGAAGGAAGACCCTCTCCATATTACAGAAGGCCTTCCTTTCGTTCCTACCCCCAGGGAGGCCCCTCCAGGCAGGAATATCTTCAGGGATCCTATCGATCCTCGGACCGTCAATATTTTCGGGACAGGAGCAGACAATTCCAGCCCAAACGGTCCTTTCGGGGTTCTGGTTTCCGCCAGTCCCGCAGTCGTAAGTGACTCACTACCAAATCCTCCAGTAGGGGGTCGCCTGTCCCTCTTCGCGGACAGGTGGGAAAGGTCATCTTCAGACCTTTGGGTTCTTTCAGTTGTAAAATTCGGCCTCCCCCTGGAATTTCTCTCCAGGCCTCCAACCCGCTTTCTTCAATGTCCAACTTCCAAAAGCGAATCCAGACCTCAATTAATGAACCAAGCAGTTCAGCACCTACTACAGATTCACGCCATAGAGGAGGTCCCCCACGATCAATGGAAACAGGGGTATTATTCCATCCTGTTCGTAGTTCCAAAGCGGTCAGGGGGGTGGAGAGCCATTCTGGTCTTAAAAAATCTCAACTCATACATAGTGTATCGCAGATTCAAAATGTGTTCACTAACCTCTATTCTTCAAGGGATTCGTCCCAACGATTTCTAGTTTCCATAGACCTCATGGGGGCTTATCTTCACATTCCCATCCTGCCAAAGCATCGACAGTATCTCCGATTCAGCTATGCAGGAAAGCATTTTCAATACCGGGCTCTTCCCTTCAGACTGGCATCTGCACCAAGGGTCTTCACAAAGGTCCTGGCGGTGGTGGCGGCTCACCTGAGACAACAACCGGTAAGGATCCAGGCTTACCTGGACGATATTCTGATTCAGGCTCACTCTCAAGAGCAAGCCTTACACGACCTACACCTCACGATTCAAACCCTGAACAACCATGGGTTCTTGGTCAACTACAAAAAAAGTCAGTTAGTGCCAGTCACCAGGATCACCCATCTTGGCGCCATCATAGACGCAGCCCAGGGGACCGTCTACCTAACCTTGGAACGACGGTCAGACATCAGGGACCTAGTAGCTCTCATTCGCAGAACTCCATCAGTTCCATTGGCCACTCTATCCAAGCTCTTAGGCAAGATGGTCTCCTGCGTCCAGATCGTCCCATGGGCACACCTTCACGCTCGCCACTTGCAGTGGTTCCTGCTTCCTTTTCAAAAGAAACGCCAAGCTCACACCATGTTAACAGTCAAAGTTCCACTTTCAGTCAGGCGATCGCTAGGTTGGTGGACATCGCCTTCTCTCGACAAGGGGTGTCTCTTCATGAATCACGACCGACTTGTACTCACTACAGACGCCAGCCTTCACGGATGGGGGGCTCATCTTGCATCACACGTGGCTCAGGGCCGTTGGTCTGCATCAGACCTCGCCAACCCTATCAACTGGCTGGAGCTGAAGGCCATTCGTCTCGCTCTCACGCACTTTCACCGGTTCGTGCAACACCGTCATGTTCTGGTGTTGACAGACAATATGGCGGCGAAGGCACATGTCAACCGTCAAGGGGGCACCCACTCAA